TGTGTGTGTGTGTGTGTGTGTGTGTGTGTGTGTCGCATTATTTCTCGACCTTTAAAACTTTGGTAAATGTGCATATATCAATTTATTTCATGACTTATAGATTGAGTAAGATTGCATTTATTCATCAGTAGATAGAGGTAAAATATTTCATAAGAAAAAAAATGCATAATATAAAAGAAGAAAATGATTTATATATGAATGATTATATGTGTATCTTAAGAGGAGGAACTCACTCCCTTGTGGTACATTTAAACGACACAAGTGTACCCGTGCGCGTAGATGTTATCCTACTATCCCCAGACAATTGTGAAGTAGATTACGAACCGATACAATTTATATCGTTAACAATTGTGCCAACAGAAGAAGATCGGCCAAAAGTGAGTAGACACATTTCCACCTCAGCCAATCTTGTAAAGTAGAATACGAACCGATACGTCGACGAGATAATATCAGTCAAAGGTGTGTTAGGTTATGTTTTAAGGGTACTCCTAAAACAGATGTGAATGTTAAGACTATAACGTAATAGTAAACTTAAAGACTAAATTTTTGAAAGTAAAGTTAAAAATTAATACATATTGAAATTTAAGTTATTTTCCATCAAGTAAATGTCATGAATAGATCCATTAGATTATTACATGATTTTTATGAAAGAATTAATTAAGTCTAATTAAATTATTTAGTTATTATTTCAGAATTATGGATAATCAGAAGAAAAATGATAAAGATGATAATGTTGAATTTAATATAACTCAAATTGTCACAGTTAGCGTTGATATATTTTCTGATATGATGAATCTCAAAATAGTAGCAGTAGAAGAACATCAATGAACAAGTATTTGAAGCTATTTTAGGATATGCGACCACCCCTCTTTTCTGGAGGAGGAAGTTCGGTGGATGGTGAGAACAGGCTGCTGAGAATGGAGAAGATTATAGATGGATTATCTTATCCACCAGACAAAAGTTACCCTTGCCACTTTTGCCTTTGGTACAGTGGGACGAGTTCATGAGAGCCTTCAGAGATTGTTTTGTATGATATGCAAATTCGTATCTATTACATTCTATCAATTCCTTCTTTCGTTTTTGAGAAATGCATCTTTTACAATATAATATTCAAATTAGCGTAATCATTTCACTTATACTAAACCGTATGATTTTCCTCCTCAAATTTTTCATACCCAAAAAAAAATCTAATGTCTCCTATGAGTTACTCATAAGTTATTCATTTGAGTTTATAAAATTTGTCCAATGCTAATATGATAAACTCTTTCTATCAACCTAAATGATCTAACATGCAACAAAGTTTAAACTAAAAAATGCCCTTATTTATGAACATCGTTAATCAGTCACAACATCTAATGACTGCCAAATAATTTTTACAAAACTGAAAGAGAATATCACTGAGAAAAATATAATCAAATGAATTAACTGTTACACAATTTAACCTAAACAGCTGAATCAAAGAGAAAGTAAATTCTTTTTATAAGTATGTCAAATAAAAGAAATTAGTTATTCAACTTACCTGAACTTTTAACACAAGCATCTGCCAGAAAAAAAAAAGAACACCAAACAATTGTGAGATGATATGATAGAGGACTTCTAATGCCATAATGCTCAACAAATTATGAATGCATAAACAATATGGAATAATCAAACCATAAAATGCTGAGAACTATCAAATCAGCACCAACGGTTTTAATTCATTGTAAAAAAGAAGGGCTCATTTATTTCTCATATTGAAGATGTGAATTTCCAAAATGGCATGGTAATTGTCATTAATATATAAAGAAAATCTAGAAGAAGAAAAAAAAAGCCATACGCCAGTGGACATGATATTAACCACCATACGCTTGAAATATATGTGTAGTATTTATTATAATTTTTTTTAGTGTATTTTGAAGAATTTTGTATTATAAAAAATTTAAATTAATAAGATAAATATTTATTCACATTATCCACGTTTATATGTATATCAATGTATTGTCGGGTGAAAATTTTTAAAATTATACTAAATTAAAATTAAAATTAATATAATCGACATAATTAAAAAAAACAACAATAGACTAAATTGGGCCTACATGACATGATTTCTAGAGCGACATGACATGATAATTAAAATTGAAATAAAAATAATTTTAATGAAGAGGAAAGAGATGTTCATTTCCTCTCTTGTTTATTAAGGGATGTTTGGTGGGACTGTGAAGAGATGGGTGAATGACAGTTGAATTTTTTAGGAATGAGGAGAGAAATAAGTGCGGAATTGATGTTTCTGTGTTTAAAATTTACCCAAATTTTATTCAATATTTTGTGTAATTAAATTTTTTTCAGTATTTTGTCTTAATTTTCTTTAAAATTTAAGTTTAAATGAAATAAATTTTAATTTAAATTTATTTTAAAATTTCACCCAAATATTGTTCAATATATTACTTAGCTGAAAAATATTACACCATTTTCTTTTAATTTTTTCTAGAAAATAAATTTAAATGATAAATGATAAATAATTTTTTTAAGTTAAACTACTTTAAAAAAAATCAAACGAACTTTATTAAAAATTTTGTGCACCTCAAAATTTTAAATATTTAATTTTAAATTTTTAAAAAAATTAAATTCAAATGATAAATGAAATTTTAAGTTAATCATGTCTTAAAACTTCACCAAATTTTTATTTAATTAAAATAAAAGCAAAAGAAAATCATATTTAAGTCAAAAATATGTGTGAGAATACAACAAATGATAGCATACGTGTACAAAAAAATAGCTCTTAGAAACTAAAATCTCCTCAACATCACCTTAGAAAATTTTGCGTACGGACGTACCCGAGTTATGTGCAGACAACAAACGCGATATACCGGCGAGGTGTTTTTTTTTCGCTGATGTATCACATCTGTTGTCCGTAAGTAGCTTGCATACGAACGACGTACGGAAATTTTTTTCCTTAGAATGGCATCTATACCATGTTTGTAATAATCATAAGCTCAAATTGGACATTCATGTAGATGATGCTCTTTTGTGTTATCGTCAACGTTCTCTCTCTCTCTTCATTTGTTGCCGGTAGATGATCAGTCTATGTCATGACATGTGATGGCAAGGGTCGCAATAGAACGGACATTCAATACAATTTCAGATAATATAGTACTAAAGATATTATGGTAGGTGTCATCCCAAAATGGTAAGTCACGAATAACAATGGTGGTGTATATAACTGTACAAAATATTACAATGAACCTCAAAGATGAAACTAGATGATGGTCACAGGGCGAGTGTATCATGAAATGATGATGTAACCAAAAATGAAATGATGGTCACAGGGCGAGTGTAGCCAAAGATTTACACCAAAAGGAGCCTCGAATTTAAGAGTTCAGCTTCATTCTGGTCACAGGGCGAGTGTAGCCAAAGATTTACACCAAGATCCTGCGAACTTAAGGGGTTTCACAAGTACTTTGAGATTTAGGATAAATCTTTCAAAAGCAACAAATAGTGAAAATGTACCTCACGTCATGAAATACCTGGAAAAAGATAATATCAAATACCTCACGTCATGAAATACCTGGAAAAAGATAATACCAAATACAATACACACACACACACACACACATATAAGCACAAAAATGTCACAAGAACTGAATATCATCCAAATCTAAATATGAATCGTAGCGGAATATCCAATGTAGCCAGTGAAGTGGTAAACAAATCTATGTATGGACCTGACCCATTCACACTTAGATGTAATGGTTAGGTGATTTAGGTGATGGTACTAGATTCCTGACTTCAGATGACACCTAAACAAATTGTCACAACACTCATATCATAGATCTATCTGCGGCCATACCCAACACTGAGTCAACCAACAAGAGTTGGACCATCAATACAAATGCCTAAAATAAACCTAACATCATATAGCACGATTGTCATCCCCCCATTTGGAAGATGAAATTTGTCTCAAAAAATCAAGTACTTCAATGCCAACGCTGGGTTCACATTCCCAAAATATAAATTCTACTAAGTAGCCAAGGTAGTCTCTCATACAATCTCAAGAGCACATACGCCTTTAGGTCACTAAGGCTTACTTATTGAAAACATGCATGATATCCTTTAACCTCAGCCCATTCACTAAAAATTTAGGAAGCGGAAGCCTTCTTCTCAAAAAATTAACAAAAGAAATCCCAATAAGACATCATTACAAATGTTTTAACCAGAAGCAAGTTTGAGAGGTTGAACCTACATCAACACTAGAATTTGATTCTACTAAACAAGAACCAAAAAGCTCATTGATAGTCAAATAAATGTTATATTAGCCGAGTAGTTTAAAGAGAAATTCTAAATTTATCCCTTCTTATGTAGCTAACTGATCAACCATACTTTGCAACGACCCATAATTGACCCTCTATCAAGGGATCCAAAAAATAAGTTGTGGGACCTAATGAGATAACATAATTTTTATAATAAGAATATTTTGAAGTCGTGTATTTCAAATGAGACTGGATCATTTAAGTTGGAGCAGCCGCAGACATCGCTAAGTCAAGTTGAAGTTCCATGATAAGAAAATTCAACATGTTTATAAGAGCAACAAGGGGTTCCATTGAGACTACTTGAGTGATGACTATATTAGGATTCTGCCACCCTATTTGTCCCACCCTTAGCTATACTTCTCCTCTACTTTGAAGTCAGCTGGTTTAACCTCTATCCTTCATTTTGTTGAACTTGTTTCTGCTTGCAAAGAATACTTTGATGCACCTCACGATAAACAACATCCATTGTTTCAGCCACAAGTGCATCAACCATCTCAATTCGATAAACGAGAATTTGCAAAGGTATCAAGAGGAAAAAATGAAGGAAAAAGTAAAGCTTCAAATGAGAAGGATCCATCCATGTTTATAAGCAACTACAATTGCTAATGTATACAACAAACAACAATCTCATTACCGAAGTGAGAAATAGCTGTTGTTCCCAAAGCAACAACTTATCAAGGCAGTAGAATGTCACTTTTCCTTTACCATTCAATAAAAACAAATTAGTCATTCAATTCACTTGTTTAATCAATAGAGATACATTAAATCATGAATCCAAATGTATATACAAATATCCCCAAAATGCAATTCAACAAACAAGAGATGAGGCAGAGTGGTAGGAAAGGATAATACAGCAAGCTCGTCGATGATCGAATAGGATGGACAAGGCAAGAATATTGAGGACTTCCCAAAAAATGCTTAGCCTAAGGTTAGACTAGGCCAACACACCCCACCTAAAGGGTCACTAGTTCAGATTAGGAATTACTCGCTAGCGTCTAATTAAGGTCAATAACTTCACTGAAGAGTCAAGAACACCGTCAAGTGGATAGGCAACTTAACTTCTAGACCCACAACCTTGATCACCTAGTTGTTAACTTCATTAACATGTTTAGGTTGTGATCCAAAAAAATCACATGAGTGCTTTAACTAAATATATTCATATGTATATGAAAAAGTCCAAAAAATATACTTTTTATTCACCTTTTTTTATAACATTTTTTCCACACACTCACCCAAATGCACATACACCGCATATGCAAGGCCATGATCCCAGGACCTCTTGCATATGTACTTTTTATTCACTTTTTAAGATAAAACATAGCTTGTTTGTATCCACAAAGATCTACAGATAAAAATTTTCAGAAGCCAACTTTCACACACTAAGGCTGTGGAGAATCTTTGCCACAAATTATATTGTCTCAAAGCATCTCTCACTCTAAAAAGAACTCTTCTTCTTCTCTTTATTCTTTAATCAACAGAGCTTTGAAAGTCATGCTATCAAAGTTCTAATATTGCTCACAAACAAAGCTAAATCCAACAAATAGATTAATGAAGTAACTGCATGAAGGGAGATTATTTTCATGTAAATGCCGATGTGCTCATTTAGTTATTAAGCCAAAAGCTACGAATATGTTAGAGGTTGATGCGTAGAGTCTTGATTTGCAAAGGATTCGGTGTCCTAATAACCATCAAATGAAACTAATACAATTGTGAGTTTACTAAAATTGACTTCTGACGTTGTGAATTTAATTATTTGTTCATATAACTAAAAGGATTGTAGTCTTTAAGATTGGCTCCCCCATTCAGACAATCTCTTTGCTGACTTAGTTGCAAACAAGATAAAGCAAGATGCATTGTCCTAATAAGGATGAGACATTAAATAAGCTAATATGAGTTGTAATCTATTAGTTCATAAACCTGTTAATGTTGAATGTGAGCTCAATTGATCAATAGAATGCCCTTGAGAGTGTTGGATTGAAAATTCATTGTCAAATGTTGAAAGGAGACAACAGCGAAATCCTCCCATTGAAGGTTTTTATGAAGGACAACAGACCATCAGTGGGGAAGATGGATCCTATAGCTGTGACGAATATTTTCGTGGATTATTCTGCTACTCAGAAGGGGTATGTTTTTTGGTGTTCGATAGAAAAGAGATTGTTTGTGAGCATGGATGTGTCATTTAGAGAGCTCAAAGCGTACTACATCCTAGAGGTGACCATACCAATTGGTGACTCGTCGAATATTGGAGGTATGAGGGGTGGTGAGGGGGAGAGTAGTGATGGTCAGAGATTGGTACATGTGAAAACGATGTCTTGTCTCGTTGTGTGGGAAGGATCGGCTGAGGAAGAGCCAAAAATGAGGAAAATGAGCTCGAAAGTGGAGGGATTCAAGCTTAAAGAGAGCTAAGAGTGTATAGAAGCAGGAGGCAAAATGAGAGAACAGTGTATGCCGTGCTACTTGTACAATCAATTCCCTTGTCTTGGTCTACCCTGAGTCCTGAGACACCTACACCTTCCACTTCCGAAGCCGATTACTCTAGTGATATGATTCCTCTCCCTTCTCCTCCCTCTCATGGCATTAAGGAGAACCTCTCATAGCAATGTGGGTCATTCTACTGATTGTTATTATCTTAATTGTTTTGTTTTCTCATATGATAATGCTCAGTTTGTCTCATACTCTAATATATTGCCTGTACACGAAGCATTCATTGTACCTTTAGACATTACCTCTATGCCCAAGTGTTTGTAGATAGCTAAGGAGGACCCAAAGTAGAAAGCTACAATGTTGGAGGAACTTGAACCTCTCGATAAGAACATGACGTGGGAGATGGTACAATTACCACGGCAAAAAGAACAGTTGAGTGCAACTAGGAGTGTAAACGAGCGAAGCTTGAGCGAGTCCGAGATCTGTTGGTGTTCGGCTTGTTAAAAAATATCACTGTTCGTGTTCGGTTCAATTATATATCGAGCTCAATAAATTTGTCCGTGTTCGGCTTCCTTGTTCGGCTTGTTTGTTTAGCGAGTCGAACACGAACTGTTCATGAACAATAAGTTGTTTTGATAATCCTATTCACACAGCCATAAAATGTTAGAGGTAAGAGCGAGATTTAAACTTTATTATTTATATTAAAATATTCATTTAAATAAAATTTAGTATATATTTATTCAATTTTCTAATTAATAATTTCTTAATTAAAAATTTTAATTTTTTATTATCTTTGTAGTCTTGTAGTCAATTAAATTATTTAAACATAATACTCATCAATCACACACACACATCTATATATATATATATATATAATTATTTCAAGCCAAAACGAGCAGAAGAAGGATGGTCAAAACTTTGTTCGTGTTTGACTCGTTTATATATTGAGCGCAAAAACTTTGTTCGTGTTCAACTCGTTTTTTCAGTGAATGAATCGAATACGAGCTACTTAACAAGCCGAAACGAGTTGTTTGTAAACAATAAGTCATTTTGACAGCCCTAAATGCCAGTGGATCTCACAGAAAAACAAAACTTAAAAGAGAAAGTGGAGCGTTACAACATGATTGATGACTAAAGAATACAGTCCAACATATGACATTAACTATGATGAGATTTTTGCACCAGTGGCAAAGATGAGTATGGTGAGAATATTGGTTACTCTGGCTGGAATGGTGCATAAACTTTACACCAACTAAATGTGAAGAACATTTTTTTTCATGGTGAGTTACTGGAGGAGGTGTATATGGGCATACCAACAGGATTCGGTACATGTCAGACAGTAGGCAAGGTGTGCAAGCTCCGGAAGTCGCTTTATGACTTGAAACAGTCCCCTTGAGTCTGGTTTGACGAGTTTAGAAAATTTTTGTTGACAAAGGAATATCAGCAGATCAATGTCGACCATACGGTATTTTTCATCAAAAAAATGATGGTCACATCACTTTGTTTGTTGTGTATGTTGATGACATGATTATCACTGGTGATGATAAGAAAGAGATTGTTCAACTAAAGATAAAATTGGGTAAAGAGTTTAAAGTGAAGGACCTTGGACATCTCAGATATTTCCTTAAAATTGAGGTGGATTATGTATCAAAGAGGGTGATATTATCTCAAGGGAAATATGTACTAGATTCCTCACAGAAACGGGTATGCTAAGATGCAAGTCTGCAGTCTCTCCAATTGATCAAAAGGTCAAGCTGAGTGCAGAGACAAGAGTATCAGTTAATCGTGAGAGAAACTTGGTGAGTCGTTTGATTTATCTAAGTCACACGCGTCCTAATATCTCATTTACAGTGAGCATGAGGAGCCGCTATATTCATGATCCAAGGAAGGGTCAAATGAACTTAGTGTATCAGATTCTAAGGTATCTGAATAGTGCACTAGGGAAGGGGTTGATTTTCAAGAAAAATGGGCACGTAGACATTGAGGGCTATTGTGATGTTGATCGGGCGAGTTGTGCAGATGACAGAAGATCCACCTTAGAATACTACATGTTCGTAGGGGGCAACTTGGTCTCTTGGAAGAGCAAGAAGCAATCTATAGTAGCCAGGTCAACAACAGAGGCAAAGTATAGAGCCATGGCCTTAGGAGTTTCCGTGATGATGTGACTGAGAGCCTTGTTGGTCAAGCTCAAGGTGTATCAAGGAACTCAAATGAAGTTGGGTGTCACAACAAGTCAGCAATCAGTATTGCCAACAACCTGTGCAACACGATTGAACCAAACATGTGGATTTTCATAGATTCTTCATCAAGGAAAAGTTGAATAATGAGCTACAGGAGCTAACTCATGTAGCCACTAGAAAGCAGGTGGTTGACTGCCTAACTAAAAGACATAGTTCATTAGATTTGTCTTAGTAAATATTTTTTGCCCATTTTGAGGGGGGTGGTGAGATTTGTATCTTATTTTGAGAGGTCTAATTATAAATAGGGAATATAGAACATGTTTAGGGGTTATTTGTAAAAAATATTGTAAGGTTCTATAGAAGCCAAACTCATGAATGAAGGAGATAAGATGTTTACCAAAGTTTTCATTGTTATACAACTTCTCTTCAAGAAAAATTGGTTTGGTTTCAAGTTGAATAAACTTCCAGCAAAAACCTTGTAACTTCAAGTTTCAGACATTATCCTAAGGGCGTTGGTAGCTTAATTGGAAAAAAGACTTGGCTGACAGCTTTATAGAAGAGAAAAATCTGATAATTAACTGGTATAACATCTTGGGTGATAAACATAGTATGCAACGAAAACAATCACTTTCAATACTTATATTTGATCCCTTTCGTTCTTATTTCTTCATTTCAAGATAACTTGCTTGATGAAATGAACTACGGAAGACAACAATTCAAAATTTACCAACAATATAATGTACTCGAGTATTAGAATGAATAATTCTTCTAAATTTCAAAATGAATGTACTTGAGTATTAGAATGATTAATTCTTCTAAATATCAAAATGAATAGAACTTCTCGACACTTAGGGTTAGTTAGCAAAACTTCAATCTATCTTGTTTTAACATCACTTGGTAAGATTTTACATTGTAAAATGACCTCATCTAAATATAATTTATAAATACAAGTATTAAACTATTGACTCATACTAGTGCAAAAATTTAACATGGTTACAATACATATCAATTTCAACAAAACTGCGGAAGTAATCCAACCATAAATAATGTAGAATGTGAATAGCCTTTGGAGAGAAAGCAGATCCAATTCTTTGGTACATAAGCATGGAATCATCACTTCAATATTGTACCAATGACAAGAAGTTCAACTGCTTGAACAGAAATGACTTTGTACCTTTTGAACAAAGTGAACAACCCATGTCACAAGCTCATCAATATTGTCTTCATCAGTTGAAAAATATACCTCTGTCCCACTGAAACGGAAGTGACCATACATATGAAATGATTGATACTTCTATCATTTCTCAAACACTTCACTTATCTAATGAAAAAATATGATGATCGTCGATTACATGCCTGAAGGTGCCAAAATGTTTAGATGTGGAAGGAAGCCTTTTTAACCTCACCTTCGAAGAGACTGCTTCTTGTAAATTTAATCGGTAGTGATGAATATCTTTTTCATTGATGCCTAAATAAAGTATTAAAAACAAAATGACAAGAAACAAATATCAAATGACTCTAGGCACTAATCTAGGTGAATTCATATGGAGTCAAGCAGGTGCATGCGAATTTGAGAGAGTTCATCTTTTATAATTCTCTGATTTTCTTATATTTTGAAAAACAACTACACAAGGAACAAGAGATTGAACAAAATATCTAATCTTATAAAGTAAGCAAATTTAATTAAAATTTAAGATTGGAGAAGATGATTTTCTGTTATACATTATGATAATGCCCAAAAACAAATTGCATTCAATTTGATCTCGAAAGAACTGTTTGTCCAGTTATCTTCATAGTTGCTTTTCCACTGGGATTTACATATGTTTGCTATGTAACAATTTGTTTATTCTTGACATGACATCCTTTCTAACTAAATCAAATAAACAACAATTACAAAGAACAATAAAGTGAGAGGTAGAGTGGAGCAACTCTTGGAAGAGAACTCAGGCCTAAGCAATCCATTATAGCCAAGCAAATAAAGAAAATTCATATTGCTCAATTCAAACCTGGACAGCCAAAATTGAGGAAATATTGAAGAAATTAAAGTTGGATCAATCAAGCGCTTCTCAAGTTTTAAAGTTTTTTGGGTGATTCAACCTAGCCAATTATAAAGATAAAATAATGAATAAATTAAAAAAGGGCGTAACTTTATATTTAGATATATTGGTAGACCAAAGATTGATAAATTTTGCTTGGCACTATGTAAATATCTTCCACTAAAGTTCTAATAGATACTTGAAGCGTAAGAATGACGAAAAAAGTTCTGATGTTGGACATAATGGAAACTCATCTCTAATACCGTAGTTATCTCGAATGCAATAGGAAGAGCAAAATTTTATTCCTCCAAGCCAATGAGGTTATAAACAAGACTCAAATTAGAAAAGAAAAGGCAACATAACAAGAATCCTCGATCAGGGCTAATAGGGATGGCCCAACGGGCAACGGTGATAAGGTCTATGAGGGGTAGTGGTAAGTTATAAAGAAATTGGCGAGCGTAGCAAGAAGAGGATGGGATGGGGGATGTTGAAGTTCAGAATAATGCGGAATACTTAATTAATTCATTAATATGAACGGGGGTATAAATAACCCTTACAATAATCCTATAATAGGAAAAATAATAAAAATGAAAAATATATCACTCAATATCTCCAATAATCAATTCATATTAATTATTAGAAGATATATGAAATAACATAAAATAAGAAAACAAATAATTTCTAATCTAAGAAAATAAATATAAAATAAGAATGAAAATCTCCTTAATCTAAGTAAATAATTTATTCATCATAACTTCTTACAGGAATAAATTATTTCCTATTATAATTCATAAAACTTCCCCTCAAGTTGAAACATGGTTGAAAATCACGTTCAATTTGAATTTGAAAACATCAAACAATGAGCGACCAAGATCCTGTGAAGTAGAACTAGAAGTTTTTATCATGTACTGCGGTTGTCTTTGGTTGTAGTTACCGCAGTGTCTGTAGACAGACGGAAGGTATTTTCATACACCATATTTTCAAAATTAATCAATCAAAAAAAAGTTGACCGACAGCAGGTAAGTAGACATTAGTGGTTGCAATTCCTGCAGTGACTGTAGGATGACGGAAAACTCATACTAGTACTGCTGCAGGGAATTTGCAGAGAAGTAGAAAATTTTGATTGTCTTTTACTGCAGTTCATGCAGTGTATGTAGGTAGACTGAAAGCTCCTACAGGTAATGATGTAGAGGAGTTTGATCAACAGAAAGACTCAAAATTCAGGCTTGGCTGAACTTTGAGTTGTCTGTAATGTGTTTTAGCTTAGAGAGATGCAGAGGAGTTTGCACGGAAGTAGATAATTGTGATTGTCTTTTGACTGCAGTTTCTACAGTGCCTATAGGAAGACTCAAAGTTCATATTTGGTTGAATTTTGAGTTTTGTTTGTCATGTGTTTCGGCCTAGAGAGAAGATAGACGAGGGTTTCGGCAACAGGGATGAAACCGATGAAGAAGAGAATGTAGGTTGGCTGTCGAGATTCCATTCAAGGATAAATCCAATCTCGCCTCACCAATGATGAACTTCTCCTCTTCGAGTAGGAGTGCCTCTGGAGAGAGAAAGTCCCGCTCTCCGAACATTGATGGCGATCGGTGGCGGCTCTTCAATTGGGAATTTCACAAAGAGATAAAAAGTAAATCACACCCATCAAATTCTACTGACAGAGAAAGCAGCAGGAGAAAGGGCGGCTGGAAACACAACTCCCCCTAACGCTTGGGCACAAAAGAAAAAATACTGCAAGAGAAAGGGTCGGTGATGGATCCAGCTGCAAGACCTAATGTTGAATGTTTATAGAAGAACAACAGGAAATGACAGGAAGCAGTGCTGGATTTCAGGAAAAAAAATAGTGTTGTTTTCTGCGACTGGAAAGAATAGCAGAAAAAGTCTACTTTTTTTCCTATGGGAAAGTCCTTCGGGTAAGAATAACGGGAAGGTCTTTCAAGGAAGAATAGCGGGAAAATCATGCTGCTGGGAAGGACGGTAGAGAAGCCACTGGTACACAATTCATCAGAGAAGGGTCGTCATTGAGAGCGAGAGCCGGTCGACAGAGTTCCGGCTGAAATCTTGTCGAGAAAGGCCGCCGGTGAGAGGGTGGCAGTAATCCATAGTTGGTTGCATAAACAATATATCCTCGATGAGGATCTCAAGCATGTCGTCACTGTAGATGCGCTCCAGTCTCGCGACAAGAAGGACCGAGAATGGAATCCCGGGATAGACTCTTTAGCGGAGAGAGATCTGGCGGCTAAAACTACGTGCCAGAAGGATCGGTGACAGAAACCTTTAGAAAACCGATAAAGGGGAACCAATAGCATTTAAGGTGAAAAACGATGGCAGCTAGGGGAACCGACGGCTATAGATTTTTCGGAGACCAACAGAGTTGAAGCTCCCGGTTAGGAAGGGTCGGCCAACAAAAATAGCTTGCAGGAAGAAGAAAAAATCGTTATTTCAAATACCAAGATGAGTGTCCCTCCCTTCCTGCCCTGCACAGAGAATGGCAGAAAGGGAGTCCGACAAATCTCAAAGGAAAACTGGTGGCTAGAGTACAAAATTATGCTCTAATACCATGTTAAAGTTTAGAATAATGTGAAATACTTAATTATTTCATTGATATGAAGGAGTATAAATAACCATTACAAGAATCCTATAATAAGAAAAATAATAAAAAAGAAATGATATGAAACGAAAGATATATCTTTCAATATCTCTAATAATCAATTCATATTAATTATTAGGAGATATATGAAATAACATAAAATAACAAAACAAAAGGTGAGGGCGTCGGCTGGAGAACAGTAGCGCGCAGGGGAGAGGGAAACGCGGGCGAATAGGTCGAGGTCGTCATCACCACGAACTCGAAGTAGGATATAGTTTAGGGTTTAGGCTAGAATAACAAATGACTTTAGGCACTAATCTAGAGAGAATAGATCGAGGTCGTCATCACCTCAAACTCGAAGTAGAGTTTGCGGCGACAGCAAAAATTGGGACAGCGAAACAGCTGGTCAAGGGAAGGTGAGCGAGTCAGCTGGAGAACAGTGCATAGGGGAAAGGGATACACGGGAGAATATGGAGGTCATCATCACCTCAAACTCGAAGTAGGATATAGTTGGAGCACCTGTCGTCCGATACAGCTAGGAAAGAACACCTGAGTGTGGAAAGTAGAATCAATAAAAAATTGCTCCTAGGCAAGCAAGCAAACAATGGATATATAGTCGATGATAGAATAGAAAGGGAAGCCCCTCCCCTTTAGGTGGCAAAGTAGCCTCACTTCCTCACTTGGGCAGTAAACAGAAAGGAAAAGGGAAACAAGACAAGAAACAGAAAGGGAGAGAGCAGAAAAAGCGGTATATCACGGACCAAAAGTCTGACACATTGGCTAGGTGTAAAGCAGAAGAGTAGTATTTAAGTCTTGGGCTGCCCATCACCCTAAGAGCTCTTTTGGGAGGTGACAAGTGATATCAGAGCAGATTACTGTCTGTCAGGTGTGTGGACTCTCAATGGTTCAGTGGAACCCTCGGAGGAGTCAATCCGTGACGAGGGCGTCACGTGATTGGGTGGAGGAGAATGTCACGGACAAAAGTCTCATATCGGCTAGATGTAGGGCCGAAGAGCAGTATTTAAATCCTGGGCTGTCCACCACCCCTAAGAGCTCTTTTGGGAGGTGAAGGGTAGCTCCCTATCACCGACAAAAGTCCCACACATTGGTTAGTTGTAGTGTCGAGAAAATCAATATTTAAGTCTCGAGCTACTAACCATCGGGATGAGTTTTTTTTTTTTGCTCCCTATCACCGACAAAAGTCCCACACATTGGTTTGTTGTAGTGTCGAGAAAATCAATATTTAAGTCTCGGGCTACTAACCATCGGGATGAGTTTTTTTTTTTTTAGGTGATAAGTGGTATCAGAGCAGATTACTGTCTGTCAGGTGTGTGGACTCTTCATGTTCCAGTGGGACCCTCGGTGGAGGCGATCGGTGATGAGGGCGTCATGTGATTGGGTAGAGGAGAATGTCACGGACAAAAAGTCTCACATCGGCTAGGTGTAGGACCGAAAAGTAATATTTAAGTCTTTTGAGCGGTGACATCCAGCTCACAACCTTAGTTGGTCGGTTCAGCGACCAGCACTCTCGTGGTCGGTTCAGGACTTAGAAGTCACGTCCCACTTCAATTTCTTAAGAATGTAGATAATAGGCGTTCATCCAAGCAAGGATCCCTGGCTTATTTTTGTATTTAATGTATTGAAAATCATGTCTCTCATTTTTATAATTAATATTTTTTCAAATTACATGAAAGCATCATTTATTACAAAATGAATTTAACTATTATAGTTCTTTTATGTCAAATTAACTTTTAGCCAAATAACATAGATCATTGAAAATATAGAAGCACAAGTGGTCGAGACTTGTAACACGTTTTCCTTTGATGTCTTTGCATCGAGTACCCTCCTTCAATGGGTCCCACCATATGATAGAGTTATCGTCTTCTAAGGCAACCATTTAAACTCACTAATTACAATGAAATCACTCTACTCAATTTGATTTTTTTTACAAATGCCAAAGATGAATTCTATGGTTAAGACTACTTATCTTCTGAAATCTTAATTTTAATGAGTTGCTTGAACTACTAGTCAATGAGATAAATTTGAATTATTAAATTTCATAAATAATCAAATTTCCTCAAGTTGAATCAAATACTAGCATCAAATTTTGAGATAATGAATGACAAAAAATAACTTTGAGCAATATTTTAATTATTGAGAAATTTTATGAGCTCACAAATAATGATTAAGGAAATCTCAAGAGATGTTGGACAATTGAACTCTCCTCTACCAAGTTCCTTAGTTTAAAAAATTATAAACAAGTTCCCTAAGCTTCAAAAAAAATATGCCAGTTTTGAATTTAATCAATTGACTTCCATGAAAAGATGATATCCTTCATATACTAAATATAGAATTGCTTCAAAGATAACGTAGAGCTGGTGATAAATTCTTTAAAAATATCGACATTTCAAATAACCAAATTCCATGAGAAGATGATATTCATCATATACTGAATACAAAATTGTTTCAAAAATTATGTAGACTAGTGACAAATTCTTAAAAAAATACTGAACTTTTAAATTACCACATTCCACAAAAGGATCAAATTTTTAAATCTTGTGAATATAAAAACAATTTCATGAATACAAAGGATAAGCATGCAAGAATTTGAACATAAAATCTTGAGTGTTTTATTTCATGATATTGTTTGAATTGCTAAGGTTGGCAAGCAATTTTTATGAAATATTCCATACTCTTCAAAGAGCTTAGACCAATAATAAGGCTTTATCTCATTAAGTGGGGTTGTTTACGTGAATCATTTTTCTACATTTTGTCCTATTGAGTGTCATATTTGCATTTAACTTTAATAAACTAAGATCATTTTTTTTATACAACAAGCCTAAAGTCTTTTTAATTTTTACCACTATCCTTCTTAACAATTGTCAAATCTAAAATATTTACTCTGCTAATTGGGTCAACAGATGTTCGACGTTTAATGTGACCATCACATCAAAGGAAATTCTCTAATCTTGTCTACCACCTGAGCTACTCCAACCCTTCCATGAATATATTCATTTCTCATTTTTTTTTGGTGTAAAGTCACTCATCCACCTATTCATTCTCATCTCAGCAACACTTAACTTAATTTTATGCTTTCTCTTGTACAAGCTAACATTATGCGCCATAAATTATTAAAGGTCTCACCATGCACCATCTTAGAAAATTTTACTTCAAGCCTGAACAATACTTTTCTATCACACAATAGACCCAATGCATTCCTCCACTTCAACCATTCAAATTAAATTCTACTAATAACATCCCCATCCATATCACCATCATTTTGAACAATATACATAAGATATATAAAATGTTCTCTCTTTTTAATGACTTGATCACCCATTTTTACAACACTGTCACTGTCTAATGTTACTAAAATTTTATTCCATGTAATCAATTTTGTATCTACTCAAACGAAAGTGACCTCCAGAATTCAACTTTCTCCTAAACTCTCTCGCCTTATCCGCAAGAAGAAATCATCAGCGAAAAGCATACACCAAGATACATCCTTCTATAAATGTCTAGTAAGAACATAAAACTAAAAAAAAAAGATATGAGCTTAAAATCAATCCCTAATGTAATCCAACTGATAAAAGAAAATACTTGATCAATAGTTCTTGTGTTTAAATACAATTAACAGCTCTAATATATATTTTTAATGAATTGAACATAAGCAATATCAACACTTTTCTTTTGTAAAACTCTCCAAAGTATTTCCCATGAAACCTTATCATTAACTTTTCTAAATCAACAAAAATAAGATGTAGATAATCCTCATTCTCTTTGTACTTCTCCATCAAACCTCTCAATAAATATATAACTTCCATAGTAAACTTTGCCCATCATAAACCCAAATTGATTTTGAAATTTTTTTGTGTCATGTCATAATCTATCTACAATTTGTCTCTTCCATAATTTTAATTTATGACACATTAACTTAATTCCTCTATAATTTTTCACTCTTATGCATCTTCTTTACTCTTAAAAATAAGAACTAATAAATTCCTTCTGAACTCGTCGAGCATCTTTTTAACTTTTAAAATAATATTAAAAAGTTTAATAAGCCAGAAAATTATTAGATCTACTAAACAATTTTATACTTTTACTGAAAAATCATCATGTCGTACTACTTTTTCACACTTTAGTTTCTTTAAAATCGTCTCAATTTTTGTTTTACTAATGTGACGGTAGAAATAAAAAATTGGTTTTTATTTATAATATTAATATTACTAAAGTCAATCGTATTTTCACAATCTCTATTTAACATCAAAATATCTCACTAAACTATATTCAATATCCTCATATAATTCATTCTTAATACACTTTATTTGAACTAAATCTTTACTCCTCTTATCTCGTTTACATTTTTTAGTCTCTAATCCATTATAAAAATTATTAAAAGAAAAATTCTTAGCAACATAATTTGTTCTCTTAAACTCCCTACTAGTAACCTTATATCTAACTTCAACTAAATTCAGACTAATTATGTGGCAAATGTTATGAAGACAAAAATATGGGCTTTTAATCCAAAGAAAGCTCTAGGCTAAGAAAAACTATATCATCAGATTTTTTGAAAAAGAAATTAAATATATTTAGCCAAGTAGGAACTCTTAAAATGCAACAATACCAACCAAAGCGTGAAAAGATGAGTAACACAGGTAATTGTTGATGTTCATAACTAATAATGATAATGCAATTAAATCTTTGCTAGATAACTCTAAATACAAATTTACTTTGTGAACATCAAATAACCAGTTAGCTCATAGTATACATGTGAAGCAATAAAGATAACTTACTTGTTGTAGTGATGAAAAGCAATCCATCTAAGAAAAAAAAGACAAATTAGTTGGTAACCATGGATAACAAAGATAAAGACTAGAAAGACAAAAATAAATAAAAGCAGCTAAAATCCATATTTAAAACATCTTCGATTTCCCCTGCACTATCAGCTACAGAGGAGGACTTCCCAACATCAAGATGATGCGATACTTCCATGTTGGACCGTGATTTATCCAATCTCAAAACGGGCCCAGAATGACTTACCCTTCCTTTAACAGAAAAATTTCCGATGGTAGTACTTTTAAGGAAATATTTACCCCATTTATCCCATTGAACAAGATGAGCTCCAAAGTCCATTGTTCGAAACTCATCCAAGCAGCTTCCAACTCCCGTGTCCGAAACTGCTCGATACAGAAAAGGATATGAGCTTTCGTTCGCATGAACACAAGAAATTTTGACCATCTCCTGAAGATCAAGTTTCTGCTTAATCAAACAATTAGGGTTTGTAATTTCAAGTTCGCTCTAGATATTAGAACAATAAATCTTCGGCTGCTCTTACTCGAGATACGGACGCATGGGGTTTCCAACTCGCGGAAGCATTTCAGCGATATCGTCAATCTGCAGAGGATCCCAGATAGCCGGCATCTTTGAAAATCTTCGGCTGCTCTTACTCGAGATACGGACGCAAGGGGTTTCCAACTCGCGGAAGCATTTCAGCGACATTGTCAATCTGCAGAGGATCCCAGACTGCCGGCATCTTTGTACCAAACTATGGGATTCTAGGGTTTGGGGTACGTGAGAGAGTGTAGTGTGTGCAAGCCATTTCAACCATCACCAGATCACCCCAGTCCTAAGGTCTAACCATCCTATAGGAAACTCCCCTTGAGTTCCCCCATACAATCGCCAAAGAGATGAGCTTAATGAATCACCAGAAAATTGACAAATAAAACAATTAGCAGAGTTCGAGCTCGATAAAGTTCCGTAAATGAAAATGAGAGCTGATAGCACTTGATAGTTTACAATTTGAAATAGTTTCCGCACACCGGAAGATTCGTTCGCCATGAACTTGGATCAGCGAGCTTTCGCGGGAGGAATGAAATGATATATAGCTGATTTCTTCTACCTCCCCTAAATCGTTCGCCATGAACTTGGATCAGCGAGCTTTCGCGAGAGGAATGAAATGGCTTCTTTCACATATATATAGAGCTGATTTCTTCTACCTCCCCTAACACGATACCGCAGTGTCAAATTCTGTGGGCCCGCACTGTGGCCGTAGGGCGGGGAGCGAATATTTGAATAATTATGAGGAGAGATTAGGGCTGTAATATGAGCAAAAAATATTTAATCCTGATTAGGTGCGGATGGGGTTATTAGAGGTGTTATTGAAAGTATTGTGGTGTTATTTTGTATACAATCCGCACATGAAAATACATCATGACTCATGATGTAATATTTTCTCGTAATTGAGCCCAGCCGAGTGTATCATACTTTGATGCTTGATATAATTATAAGTTGTTCATGTTCGATTTGAGCTTGCATCAAGCTTTCACATGCTGTTCAAGTTTCTTGCTTAAAATTTTTAATATTTGTACTTGATTTGTTTTAACAAGTAAACGTTTATTTAAAAGAGTTAATAAAAGAACTAAAAATTCAAACAAAAAATCTAAATTTTCATATAAAAGAAAACATAAATTTTAGAAATCTAAATAAATAAACAATTGAATAAGTCGTATAATTTGTATATGATATAAGCAAATAAACTAACTGGAATGTTATCATCTAGTGTCTGTAATATATGTAATCTCACAAGAATGAATTAATATGGAAAAAAAAAAATCAAACAAGAGTTTAAAAAATTTAAACTAAACTAGTATTATAAATTAACTCATAATGTGAAACTAGTCAACAATCTTTAAAATATTTGAAAAAAATCAAAAGTTGTTCGATCAAGCATAACAAAAAAGAAATGAACAAAAGTGACGTTCACTTTTAGGATTTCATCATATTAATTTTTAAATTCTTAATAATAAATAATAAAATAAATACATTATTAAGACTTAATCTAAAAATACTTATAATAACAATATGCTATGATTAATTATATAATTAAATAAATTATAGCAAATTAATTTTTATTTAAATAATATATCATCTATGATATGTGATATATTTGAGCTTCATATCGAGTATTAAACAAGTTGTTTGTTGAAAACCAAATGAGTTTATTTGTGAACATAAATGAACTAGTTCGATTATGTTCATATTTAGTTCATTTAAGTTTCAAGTTTTAGAAATATGTTCATGCTTATTTATTTACTAACTTGAACGAACATGATCGAGTCTAAATTGAGTCGAGTTCAAGTTATTAACCGAGTGCATTGGTTCATATACAGCCCTATGAGAAATCCTCAAGCTGCAATGATATTTAGATAAATTTTTGAATAGGAGTAGTTTAATTAACCTCTTCTTTTGTATACCCCGAGCTCCATTAGTGTTTTCAGGTTCCTCTCCTTCTCCCTTTCATTTTCTCCTTGATAAAATCTCAATTGTCGTCTTTCTTGTTCAGATCTAAGTAGTGTTTGGAAAATAGGACCAGATCGACCAATTTTATCATAAACCGGTGGTTGGCCCAGTTCGAAACATATAAATAATAGTTTTTGTCCTTGAATCATTCTAAACCAGTCGAGCTGCCGACCTATTTAACCTCTTAAAAAAATATGAATATTATTTATTTTTTTTTCTTCTTGGTTATAGTTCTCATGTTCCAAATAAAGCTTATATAATCTCTTCTAATCTTCCTAATTCCCAAAACTTTAATCTCTCATGCATACTTTGAATACAAGATAAAGTTTCTTTTTATAGATCTTGAAGTTGAAGAAGGTTGTAAGTGGTGGAATCTTGCATTGGTGTGCTATGCATTGTGTAAACGACCCTTCTATTGTAATCTTCTTCAATCTATGAAAAGGATATGGAAACTTAAAAGTATTGTTGATCTTATATCCCTTACAGAAGACTTGTTTTGAAGATTATGAGTTAATTTTGTTGGGAGGGTCATGGTATATCAATGGAAAATCTTTCATCTCAAAGAAATGGTCTTCTAAATTTCAGCCAGTAAAATGAAATCTTAAGGAAATTCTAATATGAGTTGATCTTTTAAATCTTCTCCTGTTTTGTTGGTCTAAAAGTGGTAGATCAAAAGCAAAGAGCTCACACCACACTTTTGTTAGGATTAACATTTAGATAATTAGATAAACACTGACTAAGTGCTTCATGAATTCATTATGTTGAGTATTAAAGGTCAGGATATTGTTCTTCTTATCATCTATGAATAGAAACTTGAGCCCTGCAAAGTTAGTCCAACATTTGTTCAAGAACATTTTAATTGTCCCAAATAACTCTACCACTAGCACTAACTATCATGGGCTGCGGTAAATTGCCACCTAAAAGACTTTAAAATTCATCATATCACATGGTCTAAATATTCATAGATACATTTCTAAAATATTGTATGCAAAATTTTTACAACAATTAATTATAAATTAGTCTCCAACATTATGCTATGCGCTATAATAACCAATATATACTCTGGTACAAGTGATTTACAGAAGACAAATGGGATCTGTAACTGCCTGTGTACATGCTCTATGTTTGCAATCAACTTCAGGCAAATGGTCAGAGGCAGTGTGCATCAATGGAATTTTATAGCAATACAGGGAAAGATTTCACCAGCATCACCATCTTTGGCGGCGCTTCCCATACCAGTAAGCAAACGCCGTGATAAATAAAGCGATGCCGATTCCAGCAGCAGCATGCCATTCGTAGAGCGGCTTTTCAAGAACAAGGCCACCGGCTACCTCTTGATGTCGACCGGCATTCGATACAAATTCGACTCCCAGCTTTTCTATCTCTGATTTGTCATGAGCTACCATATTGAGCTTAACAGCCTTAGCAATAGCCTCATACTCCTCTCTGCTCCCTCCTTCCAGGAAAGCCCCCACAATCCTGCCTTTATTGACCCAGTATGCACCAAATCTTCTGGCGAGGAAATCTCCATAATGTATTACTTCTCCAACATTATCTCCATAGAACTGCCAAGAAAGTGTGAAGACTCTGGAGTAGAAGAAAGGCAGGTAGTCAAAGTCAACTGTTTTGTCAGGTGTTGTAATAGCTGAAACAGCATGCCTTGCAGACTTCCGAGCAGAATCTACGTGCTCAAGCCGACGATATTCACCGCCGAATAACTTGACAGGGAAAGCAGCTACATCACCGACAGCATAGACAGAACTGTTACTAGTCTGCATTCGACCGTTGACCTTGATTCCACCTTTCTCTATAGCCAGCTGACCCTCGAAGAGGCTCGTATTTGGACGAATTCCAATGCCTACGACGACCATGTTAGTAGGCACTCGCGTTCCGTCTCTGAGAACTACTGCTGTCACCTGTGGATATGATAGAAAATAATAGCCCAGATCAAAGTATGTATGCTGCACTAAACTCTGGATAACTAAATGGTTCCCACAGAATCTCTAAGATGGTTAGAATTTGATACACTTGATTTGTAGAAGGGCTATAAACTTACCTTTCCATCCGAATCATTTTCAAATGATGACAACACAGTTCCCTTTATGAAATTCACTCCTTTCGACTCATAGTAGGCTTCATAAAAATCAGCAATTTTCGGCGTGAACAAACGTGCCACTGCAAAAATAAAATAAAATCATGTTGGGAGAAATTAAAAAAAAAAAAACTTCAGCACCAAGTAGGGTAGAAATCTGAAATCCACTACTTACTACAATGTTCCTCAGGAAAGACCATAGTTACTTTTATTCTGCTGGTGACCAAAGCAGCCGCACACTCCATTCCTATGTAGCCTCCACCAATGACAACAGCATTTCCTCCATTGCAGGTTTGCATTATGCTCACAAGCCTAGTTGCATCAGCTAAATTACGTAAATAGCAAACATTTTCAGCATCAGACCCCCTCACCCCAAATTCTTCAAGCTTCAAAGCCTATGTGACAGGGCATTAAGTTAAATATTAAGATACATAAGGACCTCCGAATTTCTTTTTTAATTACAAATTAGTATAAAATTTATTTCAATATTAATGCCTTCAGATAATAAATAACTACCCTAGCTCCTGTTGCAATGATGAGAGTCTTGTAGCTTATCGTTTCCCCAGCAGCTGTAGTTAATGTCTTGCGATTCACGTCGGCAGACTTCACCCGTGTTCCGAGAACAAGTTCAATGCCTGACAAGCAGTCCAGATTTTTAAAACAATTAATTACATAAAAGACGTACAGATCAACCTAAAAACTTCGAATATTTCACTATGCATAAAATCATGGAAGAATTTGAGGGGCTCTTCATATTCGAAAAATGTGGCAAAAATATACCATTCTCACATCCAACTATATGAACAGAATGAATGGGATACTGTGCTAATATTATGAAAGAATCAAGTGTTGCAAATATGGAAATCAGTCCATTATTCAAATTGACATTTTCTCATGTTTGACAGCAAATTGAATTTGATACTCGAAATTAATTGCTCTTAATTCCTTCTATGATTTGCTGCAGATAAGAAAATGAAATAATTTATGAGTTTCATTAATTATTTGATTAATTCCTTATTGGGCCTAATGTCATGATGGAATTAATAAATAAGCATGCTAGTTCACCTGTAATATCTCTCAGAATTTAGTTTCCCAGGCTTCCTCTTCGGCATTGGTAGCTTTCCAGATTCTTCTTCTGATGTGCTTCGAATTCTTCTCTGGCTTACGGTGGAGAGAGAGAAGGAGAGGAGAGAGAGAAAGAGAGAGAAATTATTCTTGTAATCGTCGAGGTGATTGATGGGTGTATTCCTCAAAGTAATAAAATCCTCTGCAACTCTGTGGACGTAGTCAATTTGTCGAACCACGTAAATCTGTTTATTTCCGCTGTTATTTTCTGTTTTACGAACTTTTCTCGATCCAATTATTTATTTTATTGCCGTCGTTTTTCACAACCACTGGTATCAAAGCTCAAGTTCGAATCTGAGAAAAAGCGATGACCTGAGATGATGTGATGACATAGAAGATAGAGAAGTTTAATAAAACATATTTTGGTTGCTGGAGGATGAAGATAGAGGAAGTTACTGGGAAAACGACTGGAAAAGATGAATTTCCTGCCAGGAAATCAGACTTGTGAGCTGACAGAACTTCCACCAGAGATGAAGGCATTGCACAACAAGTGTGTGTAACATGTGAAGGCTGCGTTTGATGGCAGTAAGAAGTACAAGACTAGACTTGTTGAAAATGGTTTTCAGCAAATACAGGATATTGCCCATGTCGTGGGAGTTGTAAGAAGAAACATGAGTAACCCAGGAAAGAGCTTGGAGGTACAAAGCTATGTTGACAATGATATGTCAATTAAGGGTGTTACTCTTTAGAGACTGAAGTTGTGCTCGACTTCAGTTGGTCTTCTAGCGTAAAAACAAGAAGCTTTGAGTTGCAGAGTTGGAGGATATCACGTTTGAAGAAAAGGGTGACACAGCTAGTCGATGGTGCAACCAGTGTATCAGTCTTCAAGTGGGAGATTAGTTGTGAATATGGAAACCGATCAAGAACTAGCCCAATCTCGCTCCCGCGTTTGACAGCAAATTGGATTTGATACTCGAAATTAATTGCTCTTAATTCCTTCTATGATTTCCTGCAGACCGGAAAATGAAATAATTAATGAGTTTCATTAATTATTTGATTAATTCCTTAATGCGCCTAATGACATGATGAAATTAATAAATAGACATGCTAGCTCTCCTTGCAATCTCTCTCGGGATTTTGTTTCTCAGGCTTCCTCTTCGGCATTGGTAGCTTTCCAGGTTCTTCTGGTGTGCTTCGAATTGAAGCTCTCGGGTAGAGAGAGAATGAGAGGAAAGGAGAGAGGGAGGGAGAGAGAAAAAGTGATTTCTTGTAATCGTCTAGTTGATCGACGGTGTATTCCTCGAAGTAATAAAATCCTCTGCAACTCATAGGACGTAGACAATTTGCCGAACCACGTAAATCTGTGTGTTTCCGCTGTTATATTCTGTTTGACGAACTTTTCTTGATCTCGAACATGAGCCAAGTCTGAGCTCGCTCAAGCTCGGCACGTTTACAACCCTACTGATAACGCTTAAAGTCAAGACTGATAAATCATTTTCAAATCATATGTTTTTACATCACTAGAAATTTTGTTCCATAAAGAATTGCTCACAATAACATTCTACAAAACAAGATTTCACAATATATATTCCTGAGTAGAAAAATAGCAAGCAATTGGCCAATTCTAGAGTTGAGATTTTGAACATTCCATCTAGTTATTATGATCTTCTACAAGCTGATCCTTTTGCAGATGTCTACAAACAACGATTTACTGTTGCTAAGCGACCAAAGGATAGTTACTCTTGCTCATTAATGGAGGACAAGGAAAACAACCGACTACTTGACGGAATGAGAAGCAGCATATTTTCTTACCTTGTTCCGCATACCATTTTGGAGTTAGCCTCTGATCATTGGAACCAACACAGGTATGAAATGCTGGTAGGCGTGCAGGAGCTGCAGGCAGCCAACACAAAATACAAGATCTATATGTGAAAAGAATAGATTGTGAACTTCATTAATGGTAATTCATCCTTGTAAACAATTATTAACAATTCTTTACTAATGTGAAAGCAGAATTATGATATAAAAAACGTAGATGTTTCATAAGTTACAAAGAAGATGAAACAAAATAGATGACTCCAAAAGCATCTCAACCTAAATGTATCTTATTCAGCAGAAAGATAATTGCAGGTATATTAGGCTCGATAAGTTTAAGATTAGAACAAAATTCACCCCAAAAGTATAAGAAAATACTGAGGAAAAGATTAGACTAACGAAAAGTAAAATCTATACAATGAGAATTTTTCTCACATTGTCTCAGTGTTATGATCAAAACAGAATTACAGAATGAGATATTGTGATCATATTATGACAAAAGACATAGCATAAATCAGAAAAATACATGATCACGACAATATAGACATAACCGTCAATCTAAGCAAGAAATTATAGTTTAGAAACTTTCTGTGCAGCATCAATACCCATGGGCCAAAAATAACCCTTCTCTCTAGACTGGAGGATCTAGGGGTGGTAGAGTGATGCGAGATCATAAAAAGTTTTCTCAATAACACCAGCAATATTCCTTAGAAGAGTTGAAGTGTCAGCTGGTGGAGGAAAAACAAATCAGACCTTCATGTAGGAGCATATCAGGAGATTCATATAAGAGCAGAACTAAAAAGAGAAGGTTGGGAGGTTTCCACTCCACCATTAAGGCTTAAGATGCTCAAACAATAAAGGAACCTACGGACAACCTTGATCCACCATTAAGGCTTAAGATGCTCAAACAATAAAGAAACTCTAGAATTCAAATCTTCCCCTTATTAAAAATTATATTTAACCTAAGGAACCTACGGACAACCTTGGCATTATGATCACATGTAATTCATGTATGACTCGCTCTTTATACGATAATTATAAACCTTGTAGAATGTGTCATTTAAGGTAATTTGCTATGTATTCCTACATGTTATGAGTACATACTTTAGTTGCGTGGCAACGACTTTGTATGTTAAACCAACATGGAGCATTGTTCACTCAGAGATGACAACAAAGGAACCTATATGGGTGACTAAAGTAAGCTGCTTCAACTTCATCAAAGCCTAGTGTAAAGCTTAGGGTCAATATAAAGAAGTATTTAAATTCATAAATATATCGCATGACAAAAAGTGATGAGCACAAATAATAATTAAATAAAATATAAAAATAAGTATTTTAAATATGCATGAAATAATAATTGACAATAATATATTTTAATTGTATTAAAAATTTGGATGAAGTTTAGAATTTCAACACATAAAAATTAAAATCGATTTAATCAAAGAATTAATCCATAAACAAATTAATGATTTTTAATTAATTTTACATTAAAATATATGATCATGAAAAACTATCCGTGTTAAATTAAAATTAAGCTAGTTGAATCAACCAAGAAAATGACAATTAACTAGCTCCATTTATGGATCATACCATATGATGGTGATAGTACAATACAATCTTTAGTTTCTGTTCTAAATCAAATTGATCAGACAATAAGATTCATGATTAAACAGTACAATCTTATAGTAGTTTGAACTTACAGTTAATATCTTCAAAAATTATTGATTGATTTTATTTTTAAAGATTGATTAATGTCATGAGTTATGGCTGGAATGATATATGCATGTGAATAGCCATAAGATAAGAAAATCAAGGAAATAGAAAATTGTTAATAGTTTTGCTCTGATACACCAAGTCATTCTCTCTCTGACACTTTTGTTCCTGCACTTACAAATCCATCTTGGATTGTTTTGTGAGATTACTTTGTAAAAGAGATGATACATCTCAAGGTGTTCGTCATCAACTCAATATCTCTATTGTCTCTTCATTAAGTGTTTCATAAACAATCTTATAGGACTAAACTTTTATTTGATGGCTCTATTAATTTAACTTGCAATCAATTTTTGTAGCAAGTATTGTATAAATCATAGTTGTATGTGATAGCAATTAAATTGCTTAAAAGCTCAAGTGAGTTTTGCTTTAGTTCCAAAATTGTTTTCATTAACTCAAGGTTTATGCTAGGATTGGTGGTTATGCACCTTAAAAATATCATTGCCTGCTGAAAAAGACTAGGAGCAACTTACTTCTTAATTTGAAGTAGAAGAGTATCATTATTACCCATTAAAGAAGAAGTTGGTGCAATATTTATTTAACTACTAATGGATTTAAAAAGAGTAGCACGTGGTGGAAAGTTTTTGTGGGAATCCAAGTGCTGAGTTGGGCTAAGCATGGATGTAAGTAAAGTGTTCATCGAACAACATAGATAATAATGTCAAATATTTTATTGTTTAGTTTACTCGTATATTTACTTGTCATCTATCTGCCTTCATATTCAGGTGGAAATCCAATTTATCAATCATTCAAATGCCAAATAAATTAGTACACAATCATTATTCTTAACTACTGTATTATTCTTTTTTTTCCATAATTATCTTTACAGCAACAACTTCTTTTATTTTGAACACCTATGCTTTGGTGATTGACAAAAAAAAAATTATATGCTTATACTCCTTCCAGTGGCTTAAGGATTAATTCACCATCACTAGTGTCAAACTGTATTCAATTGAACTAACTCCTGCATAATTAATAACAAATTATCTTGAATCAAGATCAAAGAACAAAAGAAAGCATAAATTTACTTGAATCAAAGATCAAAAACATGAAGACCTTCAAATTTCTTTCGATTAAGAATCAATGAGAAGATCTTTAAGACTGTCAAATAAAAAATTATGTCCATATTAACTAGATCAAGGGAGAATTGGCCCTTTGGGATTCATATAGCCGACCCCAATTAGTAGGATAAAAGCTTGTTGTTATTGTTGTTGTTGTTGTCGTCGTCGTCGTCGTCGTCATCTTCGTCGTTGTGTGTAAAGAAATTTACTATCGTGAAGTCAGTCAGATAGAAGGCCTGAACAATTGGTGTTTTGGGCATTGGGGTGTGAGAATTGGATTTTCTAGAGTCGAGCTCAGACATTATGCTGAGTAGATTAAGAGGAGAGTTGCAAGAAACAGAGTTGTGCATTAGGAAAATTTATGAGGAAATGCAGCAACATAGATGAACAACAGTTTTTTGTGAACTTAGAGTGAGAGTAGGAGAGACCATATGAAATAGAAAGCGAGAGGGGCAAATGAGAGCTTGAATTAGAGTTTTCAGGAGAGAGTGTCGATAGTGAGCAGTGAAGGTTCAAACGAGCAAGACTAGGATGGGTGCTAAAAATAACATCCAAAGAACAAGTGAGGATGGGGGAGAGATGTTAGGCAAAGATAAAAATGACTAGAGATTGAGATATTTGATGTGGTATATAAGAAAATACTTCTTGCAGCAATCTTGGCATTGGCGATTGGGGTACTATAAAGGGGCTGGCATGGGCAAGGGAATGAGAATAGTAACGCACTGGATTTGGGCATAACCCATTAAGCTACATAATCCTCTTTATTCATCTTAAATTCTATAAAATGGCATAAAATCATAAAATAAGAAAATAGATGATAAAATATTTAATTGGTGTCGGCAGCTAAAAGGGAGGGGGAGTTAAAAAAAGATTTGGTGGGTGATTTGTTCAAAAGTTGTCCGTAAGGTCGCTGGAAGTGAAGTCCCGCCGCCCGCTTCAGAAGGACGTTTAATTTACATACATATATAATTTTAGAAAAATATGGAATCAAACTGACCTCATATTTTTCACAGTTTAAATGAAAGAGCGTTCTACCTCAAATCCTGTATCTATCCCGAGAAATAAACACAAGACTTGAAGATGAGGCTCGATCAAATAAACTAAGAAATATATGACATTCGTTTGGTCTGCGAAGCCGTTTTATTTGCCGACAAGTTCCCCTATTTAATACAAAGAATTAAATAGGGTTTATTTTAGGTTGGGTTCGGAAAAGCTTCCTATAAGGGCAAGCCCTCATAGTTAATTACATCTTAAATGACTGAAGTCAGCTAAGAAAACTCTCAATAAAAATCAGAGAATATTATCTTCAAAGAAGTTAAAACAATAGGATTTTTCAACGAAATCGGACAAGAGGTGTGAAACGGGATAGACTCGAACCTGGAACGATGTTGAGGAATCCAAATGCCAAATGAAGAGAAACTAGGGGAGGTCACGGATCCAGAGGAGAACCTCAGTGACTTCCCAGTCTATCCTATGATTTGGCCTCAGTTTCGAGAAGAATTATTAAAGTGTTTCATCCTGTCAATTTTATTTAATTAGGGCTTATATTTGTGTGGCATTGCCACGCAAATCGCCTGGAAGATATGAGAGTTTACGTCAGGGCTTATATTTGTGTGGCATTGCCACGCAAATCGCTTGGAAGATATAAGAGTTTACGTCATATCGGACGACAATCTCGGAACCTAGAACGAGTTAGGGCTTAAATCGTATAGCAGAGCTATACGAATGCCTAAGGAAAAGGTGGAGGATTTATGTTGCGCTAGGCAATCAACATCGAAATCCTATGGATTGTTGTTTAATTTCTAGGAAAGGAATGGTTTTGCTGGGGAAGACAGGTTTTGCAGTTGAAGATGGTCGTGCTGCCCACCGCGCTAGCTCCAAGCTCACCGACGTGACGAGATTAAGTTTTCTAGGGTGTCTAGTTACGATGTTAAATCAAACAACTCTATGGTGAAAGTCTTCTAAACATCATATGAAAAAAAAGGCATGCTTAAAGATATATAAATAAAAATATGCAGTACAGGACAACAGTAGGATGAATGTAGAACAGTAGCAGGTAGAAACATGAGTGGTATAACATGTTGTACAGAAAGAACAGTAGCAGGTAGAAACACGACAAGTATAACATGTTGTACAGTAGGGTAGCAGGTAGAAAAAGGAAAATTAATTGCTGTAAAATGTAAAGCAAACATGTACACCCGTGAGATCCGTTGTTCCTTAAGTCTAACAAGTCTAAATGCATCGCAA